CAGCAGCAATTTTAAGCGGCACCACAAAAAATTTTACTCGGCATAACTTCTTTGATAAAAGTGAGAAAGAGTAAGCTTTGCAAAGTTTTTTTTCGTTTAATTTGTGTTTTTAAAACGATATCAAGAAGATTATTATTATTACCATTATTATTAATTATTAACGCGCATATCGATTTTATTTCATTTATAAATATAATTGAAATTTAATAAATTGTAAAGTGAAATTTTGAAGAAAGCATAATTTGCATTTTAGCTAAATGTATGCCCTAAATGTAAATGCAACCTTTTCATTAGCAAAAAAGTATTCATTAGCTTGAAAACTTGGTGATTAGGTGTATTTTAATGATAACATAAATGACTAAAGCATCAAACATCACAAATAAGCTTCTTTTCCTCTCTTCATTATAAATGTTCTCTACTGCTTACACAATAAATTTCATTGTTTTTCATTAATATAAACTTAAAAGAATCAAAGAAAAACAAAGTAAATTAAAAAAGTAAACAAAAATAAAATGAAAAATATTTAATAATCAATGAATTTTATGTTAAAATTTAAAAACAAAATAAAAATTCAACAATAATAAATTATTTTAAATTTTAAAATTAAAAATTTAAAATATTCAATAATTATTCATTAACAAATTATATTAAAATTTTAATTAAAAACTTAAAAAAAGGATAAATTAATTTGCAATAATAATAATAATTAATCATTTTTTTTATTCTTTTAATAAATTAATTATTTTAATTTTATTTTCAAAGTAATTTTATAATTTGTAATTCTCTAATTTCCAATCTTCAGCAATAAAAGCAGCGATTTTAATTCAAAAATGGTATAGGCGTTGTTTGGCACGTTTAGAAGCACGACGTCGTGCAACGTGGAGTATATTTACCGCATTGGAATATGTCGGTGAGCAGGATCAATTAAAGGTGACCTAATTCATTTTTCAAATTTTTTTTTCAACAACAAAGAATCAATTTGTTGCAGTTGTACAATTTTTTCAGCGAAATAATCGAAACATTGAGTGAACAAGAGGGTAATTTGAATCGTTACGCTTCACAAGGTTGTCACTTACTACTTATTGTTTATTTTCAAATTAAAATTATCGTGTAAATGAAATGAGGGGAAAAGCTAACATTTTAATTAATGAAATTTTTTGAAATTTATATTTTAATCTTTAATTTACATAAAATTTTATTTTAGCTATCAGAAAGGATTTCAAAAAACAATTTAGCTTTTTTTTAATTATTATTAAAAGAAAAATTTATCAAAAGATTTTTAAATTTTAAATTAAAATTTTTATTTTTATATTTCATTACTATTATTAGAAAAAGATAACTTACTCTCTTTCTTTTCCTTTTCAATCATTTAAATTTGAATGATAATAATATCAATGATAAGCTATCAATTTCAGCTTCATCGAATTATCCCTCATTGACAAGTATGATAGTTTAGAAGAGAAACTTGCTTTCCCTTTCAATCATTTTTAATTCTTTCATTTCTTTTTCTTGTTTTTATGCTTTAAAGTCTTTTCTTTTTGAACAAACAACAATTAATTAATTATTGAAATAAAAATAAAATCTTTTGTTTAATGCATGAAAATTAATAAAATAGGAAAAATTAAATAATTAAAATTAAATCTGAAATTTTAATTTCCTCTAATATTGTGCATGTTACATTAATCTCTTCTGATAAATGAAAATTTTCTCTTATCATATATATGATAATATAAATGATAATAGGTGAAACAGCGGATGAGAAGAAATTACTTGAAATGACTCGACCGGAATCATTCAAAATTGAAAAAAGCTATAAAGGCCCTAATATTTCATTGCCACTGCAAAAAATTCACATTGATGAAATGATTGATGCCTTCAAAAATAATAAAGTAAGTATACTATTCTGTAAGAAAATAAAATTCTTAATTTTTTTATTTTTAAATTAAAAATTTTAATTGTTTCTTTTGTTTTGGCATATAGGAAATAATATTATAATTAATTAAAAAATTTATCAAAAAAAATGAAAAATAATTTCAAATATATCTATCACAAATATAAATAATTCATAATTTTCGTATTAAAAAAAACAAAGAATATTTATATAAGCAATTTTAATTATATAAGTAATTTAACTAATTATTTATATAAGCAATATAAGTAATTAATAAGTAATTTTAAAATACGAAAAATTTTTTTTTAATTTTATTTTGCTTAATTGTTTTTTTCTTTTATTACTTAATTTGAATTATAATTTATTCATTAATTTTTGTTTTAAAATTATCTCTTAATCCTATAAAACGACATATGATAATATGATTTATGATAATTTGGATGAAAAAGAAAGTGATAATTATTATTTTATAGATAATGCATATTAGCTGTATATTATTGATATTACATGAAGCTCGGCGAGTTTTTAAAACACTTCCAACAGTTGTTGAAATTTCAACATCAATTTCAAATCAAATAACAATATGTGGAGATTTGCATGGAAAATTTGATGATCTATCAATTATTCTTTATAAGGTATATCGTTATAAAAATTATTCGTAATAATATTGTTAATCGATTATTCTCTATAAGGTATATCATTATAACAATTATTCATAATAATACTATTAAAAGCAATTAGTAATTACAGTAACAAAAATAATAATAAGAGGAAAAATAATAATTAGTCGTGGTAATAAATAGTAATAATAAATGATTAATAAAATATTAATGATAATGAAATAAAATATTAATAATAGTGATGATGAGATGATTGATAGTGGTAATGTTGTTGATGACTGATAATGATAAATTCTAGTAAATTTTAACAAACTACAACTAATGAATAGTGAGATGAAATGAAAATAAATACATCTTATTTGTAGAAAGATAAAGAAGTAAACATTTTAAAGAAGTAAACAACTTATTTGCTGGAAATGAAATAAATTAATATCAAGGATAATTTTATGATGAATAAAAATTAAATATGAAATATTTTAGAATGGTTATCCATCAAGTGATAATCCATATATATTTAATGGTGATTTTGTTGATCGTGGTACACAATCTATCGAAGTATTCGTGGTACTTTGTGCATTTGTAATTTTAAATCCATCATCAGTAATACTAAATCGTGGTAATCATGAAGATTATATTATTAATTTACGCTATGGTTTTGTAAAAGAATTAACGACGAAATATAAGGTATAAACGAAATGATTGTTTCATATATATTATCAATAAAATTATCAATCATTTTAATTATTAATTTTTAATTAATTTAAAAATAAATGTTATCAAAAGAATATTTTTTTAATTTTCATTTTATTCCTTAATTAATAAAAGAATTATACATTTGTTATGTATTGTTTATATGATAAACTGTTAGGAAAGCAACACATTTAATAATTTAACAAATATTTTATTTCATTTTTTAAAAATTTAAAAAATTTTTTTCCAAAAAGTTAGAATTTAGAAATCAGCAAATGCATTGGTGAAATTGTTGGAAGATATCTTTTCATGGTTACCACTTGCTACTATTATTGATAATAAAATATTTGTTGCACATGGTGGTATTTCGGATACAACAAATTTGGATGATCTTAAAAATTTACTACGATATGAAGTAAGTTAACAAATGTTATGAGCAAAATTTAAAATAAGCAAAAGAAGGGGGAATAAAGCTTAAGTAAATGTAAGATTTCTTGAATAAGCAGTGAAACGTGAAGAAAGGTTAAGTAAATGTGATCGATCGGAGAAAGGAATGGTTAAATAGATGTGATCGATCGGATGAATGAAAAGTTAAATAGATGCGATCGATCGGATGAATGAAAAGTTAAATAGATGCGATCGATCGGATGAATGAAAAGTTAAATAGATGCGATCGATCGGATGAATGAAAAGTTAAATAGATGCGATCGATCGGATGAATGAAAATCGAATAAATTTAACATATTATTTTTGTTTTCTTTTTCATGTTTCAATTATTGATTGAAATTTTTGATGATTACCTTCAAGATTTAATTCATGAAATAAATTCGTATACATTTATTTAAATGTTTAAAGCATTTTTTTTTATTTCATCTCTTTGTTTCTTAATTATAGTATGGATCAGTGATCACTCCACCACTTTCTTTTGATGGTATTGAAAGGAAAAAAATTGATACTAAAGGATGGAAATTAATTTTGGATATATTATGGAGTGATCCAAAAGAACAAAATGGTTGTTCGGCAAATGTTTTCCGCGGTGGTGGATCATGTTTTGGTCCCGATATAACTCGGACATTTCTTGAGAAGTAATTATGAATTCATTTTGTGAAATGAAAAGAAAAAATTGATTGAAATTCTTTGAAAAAAAAAACTTTTTTAATAAATTATGTTTTAATGATAGTAATAATTATTTAACATTTTATTTGTACATTTTTAGAAATTAATTTATATTAAAATTAAAAATTTTCTTAATTAATATAATTAGAATTAAATTGAACTATTATTTTATTTGAAAAATAAATGAGGCATTTTATTATTTATTCATTCATTAATTTATTATAATTAATTAAAATTAAATAAAATAAATAATTATTCATTTATTTCTTATATAAAATTTATACATATCATAGAATGAATAATGAATATTTTTCAATTTGTTTATTAATTTAACTTAATTAATTAAGCTAAATTTAAAAGGTATCAATTGGATATGATTGTTCGATCGCATGAATGCAAATATGAGGGATATGAATTGACACACAACGATAAAGTATTAACGATATTTTCGGCATCAAATTACTACGAATACGGTAGTAATCGAGGTGCATATGTTAAATTTCTTGGCGCAAAACATGAGCCACATTTTGTGCAATATCAAGCAACTAAAGCACATCGACAAGCTGTTAGCGCAAGAGAAAGGTTAAATTTGTTTACTTAAATAAACAAACAAGTTGAAATTAGTTTATTAGCGAAAGGGAAAGATTTAATTTTTCGTTTTAGAAAAAGCAAAAAAATCTCAAACTATTTTATTTAATTTTTGAAACAAAGAAAAGCTGAGATTTTTTTTTTTGTAATTTAAATTATTCGAATTAGCAAAAGTAAAATATTTCAATAATTTATTTATTAGTAAAATTATGTAATAATTTATAGACAAATGATGGGAATTTATTAGTTAACCAATATTCTGTGAATAATTAATCTCATACAATATTAGAATAGATAAATTAAAACTTTTGAAGAATGATAAAGAAGTTGTAAATTTAGGATTGATGCTGTCGAGCAATCAGCTTTGAAAAATTTGCTGACACAATTGAATGTACTTAATAAACAACTTCAAAGTGAATATGAACTTTTGGATCCATCAAATACCGGTAATTCCATTTGATATTATTTTGTATAAATGAAAGTAAGATGATAAATTTGATTTTGAATTTAAATTTGATTGATTTCAAATAGAAGAAATTCTTATTTGCTATAATGTGAAATAATTATAAGATAATAATATTCAATACAATAAATATAGTAATTTAGGTTCACTAAAAAAAAAAGCTATTTATATTGCCTAATTAATATTATTTAGAAATTTATCCAAATTATCTATTGAGATATTTTAAAAATTAATAATTTAAGGGAAAATTTCAATTTATAAATGGTGCAAATGTGTTGAAAGTGTTTCGGGCCTTAATTTACCGTGGTATTCATTAGCTCCACGACTTGTTACCGTAACTGATGATGGTAAAAATGTATTATACAAACAAAATCCATCAGATGTACAAATTTTTAGTGGTAATAAGGGAATCATACAGGTGAGAAAATTTTATTTTCACTTCTAAGATTTAAAAATATTTCGAAAAACTATATACATTTCTAAATGAGCAAATTAATTTTAATTAAAAAATGATAAAAATTTTATAATAATTAATAGAAAATGATAAATAATATAGGAAAAATTCTTTTCAATTAAAAAGAGAATTTTTTTATTATTAACAAAAAGTTTTAATTAATCGCTAAACTAAATTAAATAGATTAATTGGAAAATTTTTAGAAGAAACCGCATGTTGTAGAAATATTATATAGGCACAAAAATACTCTTGAAGCATTATTCCGCTTCATGGATAAGGTAAAATTTTCTTATTCTTTTTTTAATTATATATTCTAATACCAATTAATTACCAATTTTTCAATTTCATATATTAAGAAATATTTTATCAAATAATAATTATGCAAGCAATTTTTTTTGAATACTTCTGTAATTAAAATATTCTATTATATTAATAAATAATTGAAAATTTTTAGGATCATTCAGGTTTTGTATCCGTCGATGAATTCATTGATGGATGTAAAATTTTGGGTCAATATACTCGCAATCCTCTAGAAATACCTCATTTGGAACAAATAGCGGAAAGTATTGATTTTAATAAGGATGGTTTGATTGATTTGAATGAATTCCTGGAAGCATTCCGTCTTGTTGATCAAGGAACTAAATAAATATGATTAATTTGTATTTATCTTATTTAGACTGTCTAATGTGATCTGCTCATTGATTATTCATACAATAAATTATTGATTCATTTTAAATAAAAACACCCTGTGTTGAGTGACCAAATTTGGATGTATCGTACCTACGTGACCTACGTCATTATGATTCGTTGAAAAGCTAACCGTTACAGATTTATCAATTTTCACCTTTATTCACTAACATTGCCTTCTAAACATGGCATATGTGTTTCAAAGTGAAACGGAACTATGATATAGAAGTACCATGCGTCAACTGCCGCCTTTTTTAGTTGTAAGCTATTTTAGAACACTTCAAATTATAGTAGCAAGCCATACTGCTCTACATCACACACTTCACGTAAAAGTAACTTACGCCATCCTCTTAACGTTATACCATTGCGAAGTGCGGTTTTACTTTTTTCGATAGCAATTGAAACCTAAACCCAGCGAGAAAGCCACATTGAAAACTGTTATTCCCTGTTATTTTTTAAATTTTCAATAGGGGGAATCCTTCTGAATTCCTTACTATTGTTGATATGAATTTATTATTTCCAGAGGGTTTTAGAAACTTCCGTTTTTGGTAGTTTTTTATTTCCGGAAAATTCCAGGCATATGAAATTAAAATTTGCTGGACTTTCAATTTTTCATTTTTTCAAAAAAATGGAACTACAAATAGTGAAGTTACGAATATTTGTTTCGTCATTCGTTTACCGAAATATCTTTAACTTTATGTGTTAGGAGGAAATGGAAGTAATGCAACGTAGAATGATGTTATATGCAAGGCGATTATGGGTGTCATCATATTTCATGAAAGGTCATTCGAAATGGGATAACATTAAGGATACCAAGGTTCCTTCTACATATCATTATCATAGATTACAATCCATATTATCATAGATTACAATCCATTGTATATGACTTATTAAGCATCTCAACATAAATTTTAATTTCGTTTCTCAAATTTGAAATTTTAAAATTGAGATTTAGTTCATTGCAAGAATGTACGAAAATGTGATTATAATTATTGTTATAGTTAAGTGTTATTTATATATGGTTAAAAATATGATTAGAATTATCCCTAAGATATCCATTATGAGCTCATCTGTTGCTTTTGGAAAAGAATTTTAAAATATTGTATTGATGAGGTCTTTTTAATCAAAAAAAATTCAAGCAATCATCAGAATTCATTTATTGCATATCAGTTATTATTGATGTACTTGATTGATTTGAATTGATATTAGCATGCAGCAATGATTAGCAAAACAAGAGCAGCTGAACAATTAATGGCTAAAATGAAGCGAGTTGTTCGAGCTGGTGGACCTGATCCTAAATTCAACAAGGATTTAGTGCAATTACAATTAGAATATAGAAATGCGAATTTTCCCGATGAAACGTTTCAACGTGCGTTAAAAAATGCTCAAGTAAGGATTTTGTGTTGTAAAAAGTGTTTTGTTCAGAAGTAACTTTTAACATAATCCGATAAATATAATTATTATTTAATTGGTCATTGTGGTAGAAGTTATTCAAATATTTGACAGATATTTCAAATATTTGCCGTGGAATTTCGAGGCAGTTCAGAGAAAGATTTCAAGTATGAAATTACTTTGTATGAAATTTTTTCGTAACTCGTTTCTTTGCTATAAATAATATCTTTCATTATTTTATATTATGTGTTGCGCTTTTTTTATTTCACACTTACTAATACGAAAAACGGAATATTTTTATATTCACTGAATTTCTCAGAAAAGAAAATGTAATGGTTGTAATTTTACTCTGCGGGGAAATGGCTCTGAAATATTATGTCCGATCACTTTTTTAACCTACTGCATTAAATTAGTACTTCCTATTCAAAAGCTAATAAATAACCATTTAATTAATCTCAAAAAAGGTGTGAAGAAGAGCTGATATTATGTATCTTATGAATTATTAATTCTTCGTCATTTCAGTCTTGAGCATGACAAGATAATGGTCTTCAGATATTATTTCTAACTTAATATATAAAAAGTGTTAAATGAATTTGTTTAAAACCTTTAAAAATTTTGTCACATTTGAATATTTTATTATTCCAGCTGCAACCAGTAAAAACAGCGAAGTTAACTTTACTTGGGCCTTGTGGGTCAGTTTTCATCATCGAATCAGAAGGTTTATCTCAAAAAAAATTGCTAGAATTCCTTACAGCATCTTTGGATAAGGTATTACTTTTGCTAAAGGCGAGGTATTTCAGAAATAAATTTTATTTTTGTTTAATAGAGTTAGTTCTATAGGTTTTTGTAGTTCTGAATTAGGCAACAAACTTGAAAATTCTGCTTTTATGAATGAGAATTTCAGATTGGTGATGGATTTCATTTGTCAAAGAACGATTATAGCAGAACTTTTGAGGACAAAGGTGTTATTATCGTTAGTGCTATCAAAGCTAATAAAACATTATCATTAGATGAGGTTAGTGATACTTTCATATCCTTATTTTAAAATGTTGCAAAATAGTATTTTTTTTTCAATAAATTTGTTAGCTTGAAGATTTCATTTTGGTCTTGCGTTTTATAAATTTCTTACCCAAAGTTGTTGCTTATTATTCCGCAGAACTCTATTAAATATATTCACTATTTTATAATTAATATATAATTTAATATACATTTTCAGTATGTTATAATGTACATTGAGATATCAGCAAAATAATTTTACTTCCTTTTGCTTCTAAACTTTCCTTAATCAAATTACATTTTATTTATTAAGATGGAAGAAGTCTGTATAGAATTGGATTGTGATGATGTGAATAAATTTGAAGAAGATGGAGGAACATTTTATGAATTAATATGTGTACGAAATAAATTTACTCAATTATTGGCTATCGTTGAGGAACAAGGGTTCAGTATTAAATGTTCTACTTTGGAACTACGCGCGATCAATCCGGTTAAAATAGAAAAAAATGAAACAGAAAAGGTATGGCTTTCTTTTAAATTGCAGATGTGGTTTTGTTTGTTTTCCAAAACTTTTTTCTGCTTTATGAAACATAAATTTTACTTTTAGATTATTCGGTTATATCAAATGCTACGGGAAAATCAGGGTATCACACAAGTTCACGCTAACATCATGCCAAATTCTATACCAATAAGGCCTCTAAAGTTAAAAGCTGCATTAGAGTGACTCCTCTACTTGTGTATTTAATGTCTAGGCGAATGATTCATTTCTTCTGCTTTTTGCTGTGATTTGTATAATGCTATGAATAAATTTATCAATGATTATTATATGAAAAAACTTGATAATAATTAGTTTTTTTTCATTATCAACACCGACTTGGTGATTTTTAGCGTATTACATGCAAAACACCACAGCTAACTCTTATGACGTGAAATCTATATTTGTAAAACATCTAGAATCTCAACATCTAAAACTTTCAAAATTTAATTAATTTTATGATATAAAAAAATATCAAATGATAAATACAGGGATCATTATACATAATAAATTACGTGAAGTGAATTCAAACCAATAAGTGCTAAAATTAAAACATTCTTTTTAATCTTTGCTTTTAAAGAAGGAAGCCGTTGAAGGTTTCAAACTGTGGCTTTAAATTTAGAAAGTTTATTTTAAAATTTCTGATATGATTAGGAAGGAATAAAATTGTAATTAATACTAGGTAAGAAATTGGGTAAATTAAGAGAGAAAGAAAGATGACCTTCTAATCTTTAAAAAAGAGGTAGGTTTTGGAAAAGTTGGTCGTAAAATTGAAAATTAAACTATTGATATCATGCAAGCAAATAATGCGATACGCTATATAAAAATTAATTTAAATATGTTTACCTTAAAATTAAACTATCAGGGTACAAGTACAGATATTTTGTGAAGGAAAATTATTATATAAAAATTAATTTTCTCTTTGGTTTGTTGTTTTTTCGCGTTTTAGATGGACCACAGAAACATGCGCGTAATGTTTGACCTTCCATTGATCCTCGACAAAAACAGGACTGCACCTTACGATGACCATCCATCCAACATGTATTTTTGCATGATCGCATAATACATTGATCCAAACTTCCAAAATCACTAAAATGGTTAATTAATTTCTTTTCCTATAAAAATTTACATATTATGTTTGATAAGCTATGTTGCTAATATAATAACGCTATTTGGATACAATTTAAGATAATATAAAAGAAGTGATATGATATGATATGATATGATATGATGTAGACTTAATATTAAAAGATGAAGTAAATTTTGATTGAAATGAATGGGGCATAAGATGAGAAAGATTGTAATAAATCATTCTAAAGAAGCAACCTAGAAATATGATTAGTACTGTTTTAATTTCTGTAGACATTTTTAAAAAATTATCATTTCGAATTTTGGCTACACTTAATTTTGATCATTGATCACTAAAAATTTAGAATGTTTTGGATGAAATTTTGAAAAATTTTCATTTCGACTATTTATTAATTTACTGATTAAATTTCGCTACTCATTTAATAAAATATAAAATATTAAATTAATAGTCTGACACTTAGCAATTTCTTTCATGAGTCAGTCGTATTTAGTAAATTAATGGTTAATTATTTTTTTAAGAAACATTTCTTCAATTTCAATTATTCATGTTGAATTTTAATTTAAAATAGAAAAATGAATTAATCAAAATTAACTATTAATTATTATAAATTATTGTTATCGATAAAAAGAAATTTCATATTGATACTATTTTTTTCTTCAAAGAAAGAAAGAAGTTGATAAATAAACTTACCATGGTAGTGTTATATGAGGACTGCAGGTAGCTTTACAGGTTTGAAATTTTTTCGAATTTTTTATTGATGCCGCTTGAGATGTGATATTTGATAATAATACAAATGCAATAATGAATGATGGGAAAATGATGTTATTTTCATTGCTACCAAATGATAATACTACCATTGGATATTAACTGTTGCAGTCGTTGTTGTTGTTATTATTATTGTTGTTGTTGTTGTTGTTGTTGTTGTTGTTGTTGTTGTTGTTGTTGTTGTTGTTGTTGTTGCTATGAAATAATAAAATTAAAAATTAAATAAATTAAATACCAACAAAATAAATGACGATAAAAGAAAGAGTGATTGATGAAAGAATAAATAATAGGTATTACGATTATTTGATATCAAATGATTGAATGAAAAGATAAATACACAAAATCTTTCAAATATATGAAAAAAAATTTTCTTTATATTATTTAATTAATTTGTAATTAAAAACAAAAGGACATTGCAATTCAAATGAAAACATTGAAATAATTTGAAGATTTTGATTGGAAAAGTGCTATTTGATACTACGTGGATTATTTTTGGTGAGATTTTTCGCCTGCAGGAATTCGTGAGAAACAAGTTTTCATATGAAAATCATTCAACATTAACATTTTACTACATTTAACAATGGAAGAACAGAAATACAGGTTTAATAAGGAACTGGTCATTTGTAATGATTTATAATACATAAGCTATTCTAATGTTTAATTCATTCCTATTATTTTTATAGCAATTAATTAATTCATTTATTTTTACTTAATTGAAGGACGACAGCAAAACATATGATGAGCGCATTTGAATCTTGCACTTTCTTCATTGTCTATTCCTTCGGATCTGAAAATCTGAAAAGAAGTGACAGAGAACTTCAGGTGCTGAGATGCTTAGCAATTCGA